CAGCATTCACCTCTTTCTTGTCGCTAGGTGGTTTGGTGCACTGATTTTTAAAGTGTCCGTACTCATCACAGTTCCAACACTTGATGTCGCTTCTTGTCTTTGAACTCCCTCTCCTGCCTTTGGACTTAGATCTTCCCCTGTAACTGTTTCTCCTCTCTTTCTTTCTACCTCTTCCCTCAGTGCTCAGCAGAGAACTTGATGGTTCACCTGTATTCTTTCTCCTGATGTCTTCTCCTAAGATAAAATCACGGATTCCCTCAAACGTGAGTGTGGTGTTTCCAGCTGAACCACTAATAGCCGTGACTGATCCTGACCAACTATCCGGTAAAGAAGATAAAAGAAGCAAAGCTTGTACCTCATCATCAAATTTGATATCTACTGATAGCAAACGGGATATAATGGTATTGAAAACATTGATATGAGTAGTAACAGAACCACCTTCCCGCATACGAGTGTTAACTAACTGTCTAATCAAGAATACCTTATTAGACGCGGAAGGTTTCTCATACATGTTTGACAACGTTGTCATAACCCCACGAGCAGTGGTCTCTTTCACAATGTTGAAAGCCACACTCTTTGTCAAAGTGCACCTGATGACGGCTAGGGCTTTTCTATCCAAGTCAGCCCATTCTTCATCCTTCATCTTCTCGGGTTTCTGACCTGTCAAACATGGAAGAAGATCTTTCTGACATAGCAAGTCCTCGACTTGCATCTTCCACCATCCAAAATCTTGCCCATCAAACTTCTCTATCCTGATCTTTCCGTCCTCAGACACCATGTCTTCTGAGTATCCAAAAATCTGACCAGAGAACACGTGAGACCAGAATGAAACAAACAACCAGAACTGACCTCGAAAATTGCAGCAGCAAACTGAACAGTAAGGTTGTTCGGACTGCCCACAGATGACTATCTCGGTGGTCTTCTGATGTGTCGGCAGAAACCCTAGAGTCGCTAGGGTTGGCAGTGGAGGCAGATCTGTGTGTATAACCTGGCTCCGATACCAGTTGTTAAGAACAAAAGCACACACACACGAATAGAAAGCAAGAAAGCAATAGAGAACACGAGATTTAACGTGGTTCGGTCTAATCTGACCTACATCCACAGGGGCAACTAGGGTTTGTATTATTGAGTAATAATGATTACAAGTACAGGAGATCATATATATAGACAACTAATTAGGGTTTAACCCTTGCTGGACAAGTTATAGCAATCTGGGCTTAAAACCATTTGGGCCGGCCGAAACCCTAATCTGGTTTCCTAATTCTCAGTTGTCTATAAGTGGGCCACTTTGGGCCGATGACTACACATCACCAACACAGTAAACATTGATGGCTCTGGTAAGAATTAAAGTACTATACCAAGAGAGAAAAATAGAACCGCAGAACATGAGTTGTAAGGAGATTCATTTCATTGAATTGTGCTTAATTATTAGAATACAAATATGAATACTTGTAAAGGGTTTCGGATTAGATTTTAGCAAAAATTGACCTTCTTCGTATAAAATTGCTAATACGGCAAAAAAAAAGTAAACTGGAGTAAACTAAAACTTTAAGTGGTATTGATTTACCTATTCCGATCTCAAAATTTGAAATTCCGAGTTGTGCTATTTCTGCCTTCGATTGAAATCCCTTTAAGAAGGAGACTTGGCAATTGTGCTTTCAAAAAGAGATTCAATCCCAAACAGACATTTGTAGAAGATTAGGCCTGAATTTGAAACAAAAAATGAGTACTAAAATTTCACAAAGTCTTTGTAATTTCTGATTTCTACTTAAACAAACAATCAAAAAACGAATCAAATCAATTGATCAAAGGATCACTGAAATAATTGGCACGAAAATACCGATGACTGCTTTCTTGGTTTTGCTGGCTATTGATGCAGATTGTGGAATAACAACTTTTTGCCTAAAATGGGTGAAGGACAGAGTAAATAACATTTCATAAGAACAATAAAAAAACTAACACTAAAATCAAGTGCTAGTGAAAAGGAAATAGAAATCAAGAATTGACAGGAAAGATATACTATTTTTAAAACTGCAAAATAATGACAAAATCGACCTCGGTATCGATCGATAAACAAAGGAAAAGGAAATCCGATTGAGGAAATTCGGAATCAAAATTAAAAAATGCAGAAAATATTGCTCATTAACAGAATTTGAACAATAACACGGACCTGTAAATGGCTCACAACATGCTGTCTTGTCAAGCATAGCTCCTTCCTGAATTGGATGATTGTCTACAGAGCATCTTCCGAAAATCAAAGAGGACCATTTAGTAATCGCATGTCATAATAAGAAAAATTTACTTATTAGTCCACAACATAGTTATTTAAGGCGCGATGCACACTGATGCACAAAGGGGCTCTTGTGCCTCGATGCGCGATGCGCTATTGATGCGCGCGCATGACGAACACAATGCGCGCGTTGAGGCATAAGTAACATAGCATCTAAAAATAGTAATATTAGATATATAATGTTGAAAAGCATAAGAAAATTTTAAAAAGAAACCAATAATCAGATTATAGACTTCATGGGTTTTATAACAAATAAGGAAAATGGTCACTCCCATCTATTTTTGTGAACCTCCGAACATACTTCCATCCGGGATCATTAGAATTTGGTCCTTCAAGTTCTTCAAACCCAAAACCTAGAGATTCTTCCATACATGAAACTTGAAAGAGCACACAAAAATATAAATACAAGAAGGAAATGAGGGATTCAGATCTAAATTGTGACTCCAATAGTCCAAGTCAGTAAGGGATAAGGAGTAGTAGGGCTTTTTTTTGAAAAACTAAATGAAGAGAGCTGTGTATGAATAGGAAAAAATAAAACTAAAGAGACAAGTAAAAAAGGCGGAAGGCCAGAAGCCTCACGATTATAAAAATGAAAAAAAAGCAAATAGAGAATCTGAAGAGAGCAAAAGGAAAACCGATGCACGGCAGAAGCAAAGTTGATCCAGAGAGAAAAATCTCATGCGATGAAGTGGCAAAAAAACAAAGCCGTAGAAAAAAAACATAGAGACGAAGCAGAGAAGCAAAAATTTCAACTAAGTCAACCCTTAAAAAAAATTAAAATAAATAATGTAATCCGTGTTCGCGATGCGCGCGTTTTATCGCATCCAGTCGCATCGCTTATTGCGCTAATGCGCAGGTATGCGCTCGCATAACGTACATCGCCCGCATCACCATGAAGAATGCCCAATGCCCTGCGCCTTGCATGATGCAGGCCTCAAGTGCGCCTCAAGCGCGCTTTTCACAACAAAAGAAAGCATATAGGTAGCTTCTCTGTGGAACTTCCTTCTCCATCATACTTGTGTTTCCACAATCACTATCTCCGGATTCTACTCTCTCCTCCTTTTGTTGGGTTATTCGGTGAAGGCTTTAGAGCTTTGGGCTTTAAGCCCGGTCGGTTAAAGAGAAGAAATATGGGGGGCCGGTTTTAGTTATTAATTAAAGGGCCCATTAGTTGTTTCTTGTTTAGCAAGTTGTTAACCCTAATTTATATCTTATAAATACCCAATCATGTAACTATAATCTGTGAGCACCTAATAAAAGATAAACCCTAGTTGCAACCCGTGGAGCAGGTTACTGACCGAACCACGTTAAATCTCGTGTTCTTAATTTCTGCTATTTGTGTGTGTGTGTGTGTGTTTGTTCGCTTCCGCTTGACCGCCTCTGATCTCTGATTCCTAACAAGTGGTATCAGAGCCTTGGTTCGGTTAAACACACGGTTACACAGGATCAATCGCAGGAAGAAGGCTGTTCAGGATCGTTTTTGCTGCTGTTTTGCTGCCGCGGTTAAGGGGCTGGTTCAGATCTAATCAGGGGCTGGTTCGGATCTGATCAGAGGCTGGTTCGGATCTGGTCAGGGGCTGTTCGGTCGGTTTTAGGTGAACTTGGCGATTAGGGTTTCTGG